CTGTTCTCAGTGTTCATGACAGCTGCAGCTGTCTGCGGAACTAAGTTACCCGCCTGTGGACCTAAGTTACCCATTTGGCCGGCGCCTCTTCTGGGCGCGGCCACCATCAAAACATCCTCGGAGTCGTCATATACGTCGACGACTCCCAAGCATCTGCCGGATGCTTTGGTACCCTGGCAGCCCTCGCGGGCGCCCCGGGTCCTGACAGAGGTGAGAACATGACTCACCAATGCTCTGTCGGACTGCGCAGGGCGGCTGGCACCGATTGCCTTGCCTCGCCAGTCGATCCAGGGCTCGTGCTTCTCAAGCCAGGGCATGTCCAGGATCATATCATATGGATCCATATTAAGAACAGTGAGCTGTTCGAGGCTGTCAAAGTCTTCAAACTTGACAGCCAGATCCACTTGGACGTTGGGAATAGTGACGACCTTCCCGTCGGTCAGTCGCACTGACACCGTCCCGTTGCCCTTGCTTTCTCTCAAAGCTTCGGACAACTTGTTGCTGTTACGAGCAACCGTCTGGCGGTGTGCGAAATTCTTCGACGCCCCAGAGTCAATCAAGATTCTAAAGGGATGATCGTATCCCCGTACACATCCGTGTACTACGAGCAACCCGCCGCTGCTCTTCGCCGATTCGAGAGTGCGAAGTCTCTCAGGGGCTAAGTCCCCGTGGTACGCGCCGCCCGCGCACCCATCACGAAGACTTAGTTCTTCCCCAGTAGGGCGCCCCGCCCCTACTGGTTCCCGGCGTTCCCCTGTCCCCGGGATCCTGGCTTCTGCCAGCGACCCTTGAGGACGGGCTTAGGGAAGGACCGTCTGCGGAGTCTTTCCGCGGGACAGTCGCGCTTGAAGTGGCCCATCTTCCCGCAGCCGAAGCAGCGGATGTCACGCTGCTCAGCGGACCCGAGTTCCATGGGAACTGGTCCGTTGGGGCTTGTTCGACCGGGAGTCGACAAGGAACTCCCAGGCCATGCTGAGGCCGGCGTACGCGCCTGGCGATGGCTGTACTCTTCAGGAAGAGTCGACGGCTGGATGCTTACGTGCCAAGTCTAGTGGGTGTTGAGTTAGCCAGAGAGGTCTATATTCGAGGAAACGACGAAGTTGTGGGCATCACGGACACGGGATTGTATCTGTACCACGTCCAATTCGATCAAGATGAACGCGATATTTTCGTATTAAAGTAATTAAGCTATCGGCGCGCAAAGTTGTCATGTACAATTGCTGGGCAAACAAAGCGGATGAAGCCGAAACTAATCCTTGTGATCACGGTACTCACGTCGCTGGACTGTTAGCTGGCAGCTCAATTAGAGGTAAACATGCCAATCTCGGCATTGGCGACAAGACACGGATATCATTTATGGACATCGGGACCCAGGGCGAAACCTGCGCAGGTCAGCTGCATTGTGCCGTGCCACTAGCCACACCTGCAGACGCCAGCGACTTGCTAGAGAGTCAAATGACGCTGGTGCCAAGATTTTCTCATTCTCGTGGGGCACACCTGGATCGGATTACAGCTCACAAGCCAGAGATTTGGACGCTTTTATTTATGAAAACCTAGACGTCCTGGTGGTTGTGGCGGCAGGCAACAGTGGCGAGTCTTCGACTACTGGTCAGCGCACCATTTCATCTCCATCCGGTGCCAAAATCGTAATATCGGTTGGCGTATCGCTGAACTCTGCAGCTTCTTTCACAAACTTTGGGTGCCCTGATGTCTTCAATGAGCGCACAGTTGCATCGTTTTCCTCTGCAAGGTTCACAACGGACGGGAGGTTGAAACCGGATGTTGTTGCGCCGGGTATGAGCCTCTTGTCTCGTCAATCAGAAGCATCGGGGTCTACTAGAGAAAGTTCAGTCATTGCTCACTCCAGGGCACGTCACAGGCCGTGTGGCCTGGTGATCACTGGTGTCGCTGTACTTCTACATAACCGACCATTTGCAACCGAGGTTGTATTTTTATCCGTATCACATTCTTATTGGCGGATCAGGTGCAGTAGTCACAGTTCAAGTTCTCGCGAAAGCGATACCTTTGCAAATAAAACAGTATCACTTGCAAAAATAGTTGCACTGAGGGTTTGTATTTTCACTGGTTCTTGCAACTTGCGCATACAGAAAAAGCAAGTGGTGGCTCTCAGTTGGTAGCAAAAATCCCGCCACCCTCACAAGTCAAGACTCCATGCTGCTGGAGCACTGACTGCCCGCTCGGACCATGCTGCTACGTACTTAGAGAGGGAAATTATGCCGTTCTCGAAGAGCTACTGGTCGATCAAGTCGGACTTGCAATTAAGAAATCGAGGAGGGAGGAAGTTGCGAAGGTGCTCGCTCTGTCGATACGTTGGGCATCTCTCCTCCCGGATGGAAAATTGGATTAGGACATATTTCCGAATGATCTCAAGCAACGCATTGTACGAGCCTACGTCAACATTGGATGAAACGTCGCTGTGAATCATGTGAAGTGTGCGCCCTTATCCGTGCCTTCGGGTTGTTGAGTGTAACGGGGTACGTAGCCCTAAGTGTAACCCTAGTTACATCAAGTGTGACACGTCATACTCCGGGTTATTTGGTACAAGGTACCAAGGTCGTCCAAAGCCAACCATTGGCTGGTGACATTGCATTTCTATAGGTGACTTATAGTTTGTATTAATCCCAAGCTATAAATATACTCACTTTACATTCTACCTTAAATAGGTCACTTCGCTCCCTTTCGATATAAGGGGACCTGTAAACTGCCGTTCACTGAGAGTTTGCATACTCTCGGAAGCTAACTTCCTCTAGTGCAAGGTGCTGTGTGACCCCGTCACAGCCAGAGGTTTTGCACTAAGACTTGCACATTTGAGAACCCTAACAACTGTGTGGCCTTTTTTCAATTTTTGTAATTTTGGCATTCATTAGGCCGAGTCAGACAGATAGGTGCGGTCCGTAAGCTGGGACCCAAATGTATTGAAAAGGCCGAGTGTAGCCATACAAAAAGGTAGCGAGTTTTTTTATAACAATACTGCTAGTACTGTAGTAAGTCTGAATGAGGCCAATCACGACTAGTAGGCTTGAATAAATGTTTTCTGACAGGTTACAATACAGCTTCATCGTACAAGTTTAGCAAGGTATTTTGTTTTCATCTTTCGTGGATGGGTCAGCCTACAATAAAATTATTTGTGAAAAGGAAGCTGCTTTTTAAAACTGCCACTCAAACGATCCGAAACTGTTATGACTGGGTAAACGAAATCGCTGGATTATCTTGGGACTCTGGATAAAATCCAGAGAACAGGTGCAAAATTATCCCCCCCCCACCGTATTTTCCCGCGTCTCCATCATGCTCTCTATAAACTAATAATGAAGAGACACGGTATTTTTGACTCTAATAAATAATGTACTAAAATGTCTGGAACATTTTAGTACGATGAATGGTAGCGGCAATTCTAGACTATGTTTCTGAATGCCGCATACTAATTTCTTGTTAGTAGCCCGCTACTTTTTTAAACATTAATCTTACTTCTTCATTTACCGAGTCCACCACAAGCTCTTCTTCTTTTACTCCTTCCTACCCTGACTTCCTTCTACCTGCGCCCAAGTTCCCCGCAACAGGTTATGAACCCAACGCTCAAACGCAAAGCGCCACCTGGCTCAACAGGTCATGAGCCCTCAGCAAGCCTCCGGTGACGACTTCCCCCGCCTCTCTGGCGCCAAAAAAAAATTCGACGTGTGGAAGGCCCGAGTCAGTGCGTCACTCGATGGCAAGCATCTGCTCGGTTTCGTCACCAAGAAGGACTACAATGGGGTCAGTGAAGACGAAGATGACGACTCCGACGACGACTTGGCTGAGTCGGACGACGACGACGATCCGTCCAAGCCCAGCTCTCCGGCTGGTATTGACTCGGATGAGGTCGACTTCGAGGACAGCTCGGATGAGCTGCAGCCCCGCGACGACGACGATACTCCATCGTCCAAGAAAACGAAGCGTGCTGATCTACCAACAGTTCGGCCGTTTGCGGAACGCCACGTCAGCCGTGACCGGGAGCAAGTTAAGCGGCGTAAGACGTCTCTACCATCTGCTCGTCACCTTCGCCGTATGGAGGCACAAACCAAGGCGTTCCTGATGAAGACGATGGATGATACTCATATCCGTCTTGTCAAGAATCTGTCAACGGCCTTCGACATCTTCCAGGCCATCTGTACCAAGTATGAGGGTGCGGCCTTTCATGGCGACCCCTACTTCATCCAGCATTTCCTTATGGAGATCAAGTACGAAGAAGGTGGTGATCTGACTAGCTTCTTCCTTGAGCTGGAAAACGCGATGAAAGCCGCGTCTGAAGCAACCGAGTCTCCCTTGACTGACGAGCAGAAATCACTGTACCTGTTCCACTCGATGCCGAAGACTTGGAAGGGCGATCTCCGAGCAAAAACAAATATGCAATTTGCATGATGCAAATACAAAATTGCAAATCTCACAAAGACTGCCTAGCTTGTACGAAGAAAAAAAAAAACCAAACGTTAAGAGAGAAATACTTAATGAAATGGATGAAACTGGGAGGCATCAATGCCAAAAACATTTCATGCATTCGCCAAACTTTAACATTTATTGTCACTGGCAAAAGTTTCAAACATTTCCAGCATAACAGTACCAAAAGAATGAGAAAAAAAATTCAACACTTTATGACTACAAGACAAGCCTACAGAAGCCTCTGTCTACAGAAAGCAAACTATAGTTTTACTGCATCAATTTCATCTACAATGAATTCGATAGTTTGCAAAATCTATCGCTAGCGCTTGCGAAGTAAAAATAAAATTATAAACTTCCAAACGAGAAACAACTCGATGAGCCTCTAGGGAGAAAAATAACCCCAACGACGAGAGCCTGCACACTTACTGCAAATATGATGCGTACGCTACCGATGACACTGTTTGATGTTATTTATGCTTTTAAAAGCTGTAGCCTTTCTTCAAAAATATTTGAAAACTATGAGCTCTCAATAACAATAGTCAGAACAAATTGAAAATGACTGCAGCACCTATATCAACCATTTCATGAAATTGGGAGGCAATTCTATAAGACCTCAGCAGCGAAAAAAAAAAAACCACACATTGTAAAGAAATATCCACATATAAAAGAGCAAAACAATGGCAGTTTAAGAAATGAACAAAGCTAAAACGCTTACACAAAATATATAAAGATAAATACGGTGATCAGGTGTACAAAATCCGGTTTCCTGAGTAGCCAACAACAGAGCGAGCAGGTTTTGATCCTTAAAATTAAAGGTTTTCTTGAGGTAGCTTCTACAAATTCGTAAAGCTAAAACGATAACAACAACAGAGCGAACAGGTTTTGATCCTTATAATTAAAGGTTTTCCTGAGGTAGCTTCTACAAAATCGTAAAGCTAAAACGATAACAGCAACAATTCAGCGAACAGGTTTTGATCCTTAAAATTAAAGGTTTCCCTGAAGTAGCTGCTACAAATTCGTATAACTAAAACGATAGCAACAACAATCACTACGGTGAACAGGTTTAATCCTCTAAGGTTTTCCTGAGTAGCCAAAATAACAATGAAAACAAGAAATCAGCACAGTTATTGCCAAAGCAAAACGGCACAAGGTGACAAATCTGACAATGAAAGTCAAAGGAAAAAGATCATCAATATCAAAACAAGATCTACTTCTTGTAAATGCTCATGTACGTACAGGACTGTTATAACAGCCACCTGTGGTAACTATCCGACAGATAGAGCATCATACACATTCCTCGATGTGGGAGGCTGTCGAAGTAAGCATCTCCAATGTGATGATGACTATCTAGTGAAATATAACTGTACTATTTCATATAGAGAAATCGTAGTCGAAGGTAACTGCTTTGGGGCAGCCATTGTAATGAGATGCACGGCGATAGTAGGGTCCATCCGGGCCACCTGCGCCGACCGAGGCATGATCCTCAAAGCTGGCGTTAAATAACTGAGCCTCGAGCCAATCTGCCTGGTCTCCACAAGTATCCTGAATGACGCCGACTGAGCGAGAATGAAGCGTTGCAATACCCAAAGCTGGCTGTTGAAGCACCGAAGTTTGTTGGTGTCGTGGCCTTGACGTGCGTGTCCTTGTCGTGCGTGTGGCTGGTGCGGTGACAGTAGAATGTAAATTGTGATGTGAGACTACGAGATCAGCTCGATGAGCCCCCGAGCTGCTGATTGATCCTATACCGCGCCGGACCATAGAATAAGACCTTATGCCGTCCCAGCATCATCTGCGTTTGTCGTCTCTACTAAATTCAAGGCTGTCCGTCATGTGGGCCGATTCTGTTGGCATTGAGCTTCTCTAAGTTAACATACACGCTCCGATAAGATGGCCACTTGTTGTAACTGCTATTAACTTCAATACAAGTGTACTCTCAAAACCTATCACTGTCAAAACTAATTCGTTTTGAACTTTCGAGTCATTTTTCAGTCTGCCACCTGGTGGCCAGATGGCGATTTGGACTCCACCTCCCCAGAAAACTGCCCTGGCGAGTAGAGTCCAAATCCGGTCTCCGTTTGGCTGTAGGGCCTCTAGGAGCTTCAGAAACGCTAAAAACACGAATTCGTGTAGCCATTTTGTAAATTGACTGAACACTTTTAGCAGGTTTTTCGATGACCAATCAAAACACGTGTATTATATTATCCAATGACGTTCCCTGATGTCGATCCAGGGAGGCTGTTGAGGTTAGGGCCCGTCACAGGGACCGCCTCTCTATCGTGCTCTCTATAAACTAATAATGAAGAGACACGGTATTTTTGACTCTAATAAATAATGTACTAAAATGTCTGGAACATTTTAGTACGATGAATGGTAGCGGCAATTCTAGACTATGTTTCTGAATGCCGCATACTAATTTCTTGTTAGTAGCCCGCTACTTTCTTAAACATTAATCTTACTTCTTCATTTACCGAGTCCACCACAAGCTCTTCT